GCCCCCCCCCCCCCCAGCTACATGCCTGTCTGGGATAAACAGAAAACCTGGGATCATATCCTGGGATATAGGGCCTCTCTGGAAGGACCCTAAGAGAAGTATTTAGCTGCTGAAGGACATTTATGGAAGTCCACCTTCAGTATCTTTGAGTAATGGTTTTGAGGGTGTTCTGTACTATTTTGATGCTTTTACTATTACTATTAATTGTTCCTGTTAATTGTTACAGTAACTACATAATTGCTATTACTACACAGAAACCTCTTAAAAGGCAAATGTACAAGGCAACCTATATATGTAACATGAATAGTATCCAGTTCTCATTGTATCTAGCCAGACACCCATTAGCATGCTTGGACTATTTTGCTAATCCACCAAAGCCATTCTTTTAACCCTTCTGTGTATATGCAGTAGATTTAGGGGTGGTCTTATAGTTATGGAACTGTGGCCGGCACATGTTGTGTATGCCGAACTTTCTGTGCAGTGAAAGTGCAGTGAAAATATCAGGAACAGATAACAGCAAAGACCTTGAAGGACAGCTGTTAATCCAACCAATCAATATTAGCTCAGTTGAATGGGTAGCGCAACTTGTTATAAAATAGCTTCTTATTTTAATGAATTTTGTCCTCCACAGAATATTCTTTTTCAAAAAAAAAAAACAAAACAAATAAGTACTGTACACTTCTTAGGGCAGGAATGAAATGGAATTTCATTGAAGTCTAAAAGTATTGAGAAGAGTCACATTTTTACACCACCAAAAACTTGTTCACTTCTCCTTGGATTTCACACATGAGCAAGGCATGACATAAGTTCCTAACAATTGATGTGTCTAAAATATAAATGACTGAAAATTTCTCAATTGGAAAAATGTGCAGAAACATCCTTTAAAAATGGAGGTACGTTTATTTTTTTAATTTCAAAATGCACAAATTAAAAACAACGCTGCATTCTTGAAAGAAAATGCAGTCTCGGAACGTAATGCAAAACAAGGGTGGGAAAGAAATGCATGGAGGATTTGTAGAAATAACACATTCAAGATTGAGAGGGGTTTTTCCTCATCCCTAACCAGTCTTACATTCTAAGCACTGATCACAATTTGACCTACATGACAAACGGTGTCCTGTTATCCATTTGGTGCTTGCCAACCACTGCTTGTACCCCCTTTTTAGCCTCAGAAATATAAAGTTTATCAAGCCTGGGGCAAATCTTCATCCTGGTTGGCTGGTGGGCAGGACTTGGCTTGCTGAGCCAAGACTGCTTTGCAATGGAAATGACTAAACAGGTGCAAGAAAATCCATGGTTCACTACCTATAGGTTTGCGTATATATGCATTATGTCCCATTGCCATGGAAGACACATTTGTTGGTTTTATTGGAGTGAATTAGAGGTCTGTGTGACCTTTGGTGGCTTTCAAACATTGGGGGTTGACCTTCTAGCAAGAACATTGGTGTGACAGAAATCACATAGCAGGCCGTTCTGCAAATTATTAACTCATTTATTAAACTGTGGTGTTAACATGTACCAGCAAGAGAGGGAGGGGGTGAGAAGCTGGCTGGGAACAGATTGCTTATGAATAGAAAAGGTACTGTGAACAGCCTTAACAGCTATGGCAGCGGGGGAACAAAAAACACCAAACCCAATCCCCACACCAACTCTTTGTGCATTTTATTAATTCCCTGATTAGATTTATAAGATGATATTTTTGCTGTTGCCATTGATAAAAGCAAAATCAAGCTTTGATTGCACAGCATGAAAGTAAGGAAAATGGAACTAGGAGGAGGAGGAAAGATTAATGGGATTGTGAGCAAGGGAGGGCGCTGGACACTCATGTGAGAGGCAAAAGGGTTCTTAAGCTGGCACACGTGACAGTTGTTTGAAGTCAACGCAAAGTCAACATGTTTTTAAAAATCAACACTGTCGAAGCTGAGTGAGCTCCCTTTGCCTCCTTTACATTGTTCTGCTTGCACCTGCCGCATGCCTGCGACAGACTTGAGCAGAAGGCAACGGCAGTAGTAGGAGAAGCAGCAGCCGCAGCAGCAACAGCCGTCTTTGAAACACTGCCATTGAGAAGAGTTGGACAGGGAGAATATTGGCACCGGCATCTCATGCGCGAGGCGTGGACTCTTCAGCAGAATCCAAGGAACTTCATGGCAACGCTGAGCAGCTGATCCCACTGGGGCTAATGCGTCTGCCAGAAGAGTCGGCTGTGGGGAGGGAAGGCAGGAAAGCAACAAATCATCCAGACTATCCAAAGGCGAGACATTTTCTTGCATAATAATTAAAGGGAGAAACAGAAGAGACCCTTTGAAAAGCATCCTTAATGGACAGATGTAGCCTTTTGGGAGATGCTGTCATGATTTTTGTCCCCCGTTTGCAGAGATAAAAAGGAGTCAGCAAGAGGCGTCCAAGGCAATTCTTTGGTGTCCGTTTTCTTTTTTTGGTCATTGTTCTTATCTTTCGTTGATGCATTGCTATTTGCTGACCTTTCCTATTGGAATCTATGCTCCCTTCCGTACTTGCTCCACCCATACAGTTCCAGCTGAGAGAAGGCGCTCCTCCACCTAGCCCCATCCACAGAATTCCCCCCACTATGGATGACGTACCTTTCCGCTGAAATTACTTTGTCATAAGATGCCATTGCCGATGCTCAAGAGGAAATAAAATTGCAAGCTCAAGGAGAAGGAGCACGGAAGAGGGGGCGGGGAGACCCGAAAGCATTAGCAAAAAAGGGATGTTGACATCTTTTCTCCAGAAAGCCAAATTGTACCGTTAAAAAACCACAGTAATTGATAGGAATGATTGATTGCCGTGTGCCATCTAGAAGTGGCTTTTGACACATGCTGTGGAGTTGCAACCATTTCCCAGGCCTGCATGATGCCTGAAGACAGGAATACGGGGGTCCGGGCTTCAGGTCCTTTGGCGTCATCCCCCTTTGTTCCGAAAACTACCTACAGAAGAATTAAGCGGTGTTTTAGTTTCCGCAAAGGTAGGTGCACAGTTTGACACTCTCATCTTCTTGTACTTTCAGAGCCTTTTCTTATGTATGGTTTGGCTTTTTGGGGGGTGTGAGCAAGAAAGCCCATTGCAATTTGAATGGAGATGTCAGAAGGAAAGGTCAAGAAATAATAAAAGGTATCGGCATTTGCTAGGCTGAATTTATTTGTCTTTGATTTATTGTTGTCAGATTGCTATTATTTCTCCTCTTTGGTTTGCAACCCGTGACTGGATATAAAAGCAGTGCAAATGGTTTTGAATAGGGAATTTCAGGGCATCCGTGCTAGTGAAATAAATCAGCCATCAAACACACCCACCCCAAAACTCCTGGTTCCACTTAAGAAAAGAAGTTGCCAGAGAGATATCTTGGATAAGGCTGGTGGGGCTAGAAATTTAGTCAGTTGGGTTTTAAAATGCCTGGTGAGCCAAAGGTTTGCAGTATGCACAATCTGGTCCTTTCTCTATTTGTATTTGGACTTGTATTTTGTCTTTGCATGAATTTGATTTATGCTTATTTTCAATGATTTACTTTCTTACTTGCCTTGTGCAGTTCATATTTCCATTTCACATGCAGAAACTAGAGTCTAACTCCTCACTTTTCTTCCAGAAATACAATGCTTTTAGTAGACACTATATTATATTCAGATGCATTGATGTCTAGCTGAGCTGGTGTCAGTGGAAAAAAGAACTATAGCTTACTGAAGGATTGTGGGCTTGTTAGGTATAAGGAGATAGGAAAAGCCTCAGATGGAGCGATATAACATGTCTCCTGGAAACACATTGAATACGGCATGGGGCTGATAGTCCTCCCAAAATGATTGTTCCCAGCATCCCCTATTCTGACATCATACTTTAAACCACAGAGGCTCCATTTTGCTGTGGTAGCTATAATGAATCTTCCTGTTCGGAAGTAGTATATCTTTTAGTGGACAGGGTTGTAAAATATTTATATGCAATCATTCCCAGAAAGATGGAACGTCTTTTCCCCTGTGAGTCAGGAAATTTTAATATAGATAGATAGGTGGTGAAGGGGAGAATTCTATTGGGTCCCAACATGAGTCAGAGGTGGCTTTGTGTGACCTCCTTCCTCCTAGCCTTACATTTTTGTTATTTGGTTTATTCCCACTGGGAGCCACCCTGAAGATAAATCATGGGTTATGAGTCAGCTTCCTAATTACTTAACTCAATAGCTATACATTCTGGAGGTGGCAGGAGAAGGCAGATATTATCCTGTGTGTCACTATGTGTGTTGGTCATTTCTCAAAAGGAAACTTTTCATTTTATTTATCACTTTAAAATGTGACTTCTTTGGGTTAGACAGCATTGTGCAATGTTGACTATGTAGACTTGCTAATGAGCTATTTAGACATTTGTCAGAAGCACATCAGAGGAGAGTTACTTTGGGGGCTACAACTCCTCAATTCTTAGTCAACATGATCACTGAGTGTTGTAATCTGGATGTTCTGATCATGTGTATGGAAGAAATTACCTAGATAAATGAGGTATAGTAATTTCTCCCTCTAAAACTCAAAGAAATATAATGAATTGTCTTAGGAGTCTTTGACTTCCTTGAAATCCATAGAGACATTTTTTCCTGTTCCATGTTCACATTGACTTTTACTTTTGGTATAATTCAGTAGTAGCATGATATGTGAAATTAATCTTCTCTAGATGTTTTTTTTTTGCTGGCCTCCTGTTGTAAAAACGGCTTCTGTTAATATGTCAATAGATAATTTGCCTGAGCCAAATTAGTCTCAAGTGCCATTTTAGCCACACACATGTCATGGAAGTAAGAAGATCCAAAGCATCTGGTTGTTGGGTTTCAATGGATAATCTTGAGTTGATGTCATCTGGGCTGAGAAATATTCTTGGGGGCTTTACAGCTCTGTTCATCAGTTCCTGAGCCTTATCCTGATTAGATTGTGTGGTCCAGAAAGTTAGTCTCAAGTATTGTGGACAAAGCAGTAGTAAATTACTTATTAATACAGGGCATTATTTGATCACCTGGCTTTGGACCTATGCACAATAATCGTCTAATATTTACATATGTTGTTTAATGTTGTTTTAAATTGTTGTTTAATTACTTTTAATTGTTGTTGTTGTTTGGACATGGAATAATAATAATCCGCCCTGAGTCCCTTTCGGGGTGATAAGGGCAGGATATAAATGTTGTAAATAAATAAATAATAGGTTCTTGTGGGTTTTTTCGGGCTATAGAGCCATGTTCTAGAGGCATTTCTCCTGACGTTTCGCCTGCATCTATGGCAAGCATCCTCAGAGGTAGTGAGGTCACTACCTCACTACCTCTGAGGATGCTTGCCATAGATGCAGGCGAAACGTCAGGAGAAATGCCTCTAGAACATGGCTCTATAGCCCGAAAAAACCCACAAGAACCTAGTGATTCCAGCCATGAAAGCCTTCGACAATACATTAAATAAATAATAAATAATGATGAAGTGCTCATACAGCATCTATTGGAATAGAACAAGATCTGTTTGATCCTGTAGGCCTGTATAATTATAGACCAATATTAAATCTACCATTTCTTTGTATGATATCCTGTGTTGACCCATCTCCAAAAATGGGTCACCACATGAAACCATCATACTACATCATAGCCATTTGGAGTCTCCTTTGCGGAGAGAAAAGGTGGGGCATAAATAAATATAGTAAACAAAAACTGGTTCATAATACACCATGAACCTGTTTTTGTATCCATATCCTATAGGATTGGTACTGGTACTGGTAGATATATCAAGAAAGGGAAAGGAAATCTACACTGTAAAAATTAAATCTGTTTGACAGCATTTTAATTGCTATGGCCCCATGATTTGGAATCCTGACGGTTTTAGTTCAGTGAGGCACCAGCACCCTGGAAGAGAAAGATAAAAATCTTGTAAAATTGCAAGTCCTAGGATTCCATAGCAATGAGCCATGACAGTTAAAGTGGCTTCAAACTGCATTAATTCTGCAGTGTAGATGGAGCCTATGATTAGCCTTCTTGACCATTCATGCCCTTTCGACAGGATAATTAACCAACTCTTTCTGAGCTGTCAAGACAAAATGGAGACATTGCATTGTGAAGGTTGAATGGATGGTTTTAATAAAAATGATTCATTTGCTAAAGATGTAATTCATCCCTGATTTTCTTTTTGAAGGAAGCAACAAGTCGTTTTACCAGTATTATTCTTTAGGACAGAGTTTGAAAATACAGTTTTCAAAGCCTGTTCACAATTTGAGGTTTAATGCTGCAAAAATTCACACATGGTCATTTTGCACAGAAAACAACAATTTTTTGCACAGGAAACAGCTTTTATTGTGCATAAAATAATATTTCCATGCAAAATGGTTTTTTTCTGCTGGAAGAAAATCCATTTTCTGCACAGGAAATGCTGTTTTGTGTGCAAAACATCTATGTGTGAATTTAGTGCACAATAAATCCTAAATTCTGAAGATTCTTGTCAGTTCAGGATTCTTCTTATCAGAATTTCTCAATACCTGAAATAAATATTTTGAACATTTTCCCATATTATTTCCATCTCTGACAGTAGGTATTTCTTCAACATCTCAAAAACGTAAACATTGGTTGAGTGTTTGATTTATGTTAACCCCCTTTGCTTTCAAATAAATGTATATGTGCACTGCAAGAAGCCATCCAATATTTTGGAACATGGTGACATCAGCAGTACAAGCTCCCTAAGAATGAGCCTAGGCATTAATATTAACCAGATGAAAGACAATAAGTTGAACATTAATCCAGTGGTACTGCTTATTTAGCAAATCCAGACCTGAGCAGACAGGGGCTTGCTCGTTCTCTGAGAGGTTACTCAGAATGAGCAGGGTCATTGCCTGGGGGATAATTGTTGGTCCAGCATTAATGCTTATTTGCCAGATGGCTATAGCACTCAGGACTTGTGAGTCAAGGTCTTATAACTATGCCAGCAGAGGAGAAAGAGAAAGAGGCAATGCCAAAAGAAAAGAAGCTGCAGATGTGGCGACAATAGGGGGGACAGCAGCAAAAGCTGTTCTCATCAGAAGATGAAGCTGCCCTGCTGACTCCCAAACTGGCCACGAACCAGCTGGATAACTTTATCTCCTGACAAGCATGGCTTTTGCTGCCATCTCTCTGCTGCTACTACAGTAAAACTAACACAAATGGCCCATATGCTGATGTAAGTCACCAACAGGATTCCAATATCTTTTTCTAACTCTAGATGGGGGAGACAGAAAACTATGTCAGGGCCATGAGCCAATTATTTGATCCTGAGACTCTCTGGGACCAAACAGGGTTGCAAAAAAAAAAAGGAAGTGTGGACTCAGATAACCCAGTTCAAAACAGATACTGTGGGATTTTCTGCCTTGATATTCTGGGATATAGGGCTATGTAGAAGGATCCTAAGTGGGATCTGAAAGCTTTAAAATCAACTGATGTTGTGATTATGGATTTCAATAAAAAGCAATCCCTTTCTGTCTCTCTCTCTGACCCCAAAAGGGCAGTCCTTGCAGTGGGTCAAAGGTCATAAAAATAGCTTGGGGAGATCTGACCTCATCTAATATGGCATGAAGAAGCAAAAAGTTCCTTCCCTTCCCTCCTTTTTACAGTAGGGCTGAAGAATCACATGTTCTAGGGACTAAATTGGATCCTACTAGTTCAATATACTTTTGAAGAGTGATGTAGAGGAAAGCCTGCTGGCATGATGAGCAGAAGTCAACTGCTTCTTGCCTGTTGATTTCCACTTTCCAAAGTTTCCCCAGGTTGTCATGCCTCCTTTCCCCATTTTTCACTCTGATTGTGATTCCCAATATTTTGTGTGTATTTTCTATTCCGAATTGCCTCCCTAGTGTCTTAATTATTGAAACTCTTTTATGATCAAAGATGACTGCAGATGCAGACTGTGGCCAGGAAATCAGAAGACGCTTACTTCTTGGGAGGAGAGCAATGTCCAATCTCGATAAAATAGTAAAGAGTAGAGACATCACACTGGCAACAAA